GACTCTAGCTTTAGCTTGCATGCCTTTTCTGATGCGGATTGTGGAGGATACAAATTAGATAGGAAAAGCACCTCCGGTGCTTGCCAATTCCTTGGAAATATGCTGATTTCTTGGTTTTCAAAGAAACAAAATTGTGTTACATTATCTACCGCTGAAGTCGAATACATTTCAGTCGGTAGTTGTTGTGTACAAGTTTTATGGATGAAATAACAACTTTTTGATTATGGAATTGAAGTAGATACCATTCCTATCAAGTGTGACAATACTAGTGCTATTTGTCTCACTAAAAATCTCATCCAAAACTCTAGAACTAAGCACATTGAAATAAGACATCACTTCATTAGAGACCATGTCACTAAGAAAGATGTAGTTCTAGAATTTGTTGATACTTTGCATCAATTAGCGGATATCTTTATAAAACTTTTAGACAAGGAACGTTTTTGGACACTTATGAGAGAATTAGATTTAACTGACATATATTCACTTAGTGTTTAAAATAATTTTAGCACTTTTAAGACTAAATGAAAAATGCTTATAATAGTAATTTTTGATTACATTCATTGCTATTAGTTAGGGGGAGTTTATGATTCTTCATGAAAAATTAACTTTATGTTCAAATGTAGTTTAAGGATTAATTTGATTGATTGAACATAATTAATTTTTGATATATGAGTTGCCAATACCACTAGAAAAGAGTAATTTAGCATTTTGAGTGTTTAAAATACATATTTTTTAATTATAGGGCATAGGGAATCGATACCCCCTTGAAGGGGAATCGATTCCCCATTTGAATGGAAACCGATTCCCCCTAGGGGAATCGATACCCCCCTGGGGTTCTGTTTTTTAACCGGGCAGAACACCCAAAAATGTTAAAACCCTCTTCTCTTGCCGCCATTCCTCTCTCTACTCTCTCCCTATCTTCTTTTCGCCTCAAATCAATGTTTATTATCGGAATTACTTCAAATATCATATTCTAAACATGCTAGCATCATTAAAATCGTGCAAACAACATCAAAATCCATCAATCTCATCTTTCAAGGTAAATTTTTCTAAACTCTATATTTCATTGATTTTGAACATATGACTAGTTTCAATTAGTTCTAGATAGAAATAGTGATCGGGCATTGCTTATTAGTGTTTAGAAACTAAATTTTTACAACTAATTTCATCAAAAAACACTAGATTTTTCTGAAATTTTCGAAATTTTCGAAATAATTTTTTTATTATTGTGTTTTGATTAAATTGCGTTGTTGTTATGAGAACTACACATATATTGATTTTCAAAACCTTATTTTTCAATAAGTTTTTCAAAAAATTTGCCCATTAGGATTAGTTTAAGAGAACCTTGAAATATTGAGAACTCAATTGAGTTTTGGGATTGATTGAATTGCATACATGTGTTTTCTAAATTGCAGGTTATCCATTCTATTCCGATTTCCTAAACCATGTCCAATCCTAAACGTGCTAGGTCATCATCTAGTCGTTCAAACCAACAACCAAATACACCTCCAAATCCTCCTCCTATTCCTAAAATTCCTATTCCTAATCCCGTTGATCCTAATATGACTATCCAAAACTCGTGCTTCAATCATCCTGGTCCTAGAAATCATCGTTTTTGGTATTATCAATATTTTAACTCTTACAAAATTAGAGAAGAAAGTATCCCTTCTCGTCAAGCTATGATAGATATCGATTTTAGATATCTTCATCTTTTGCAAGAGTGGAAATTTGATAAACTTTGTGATCTTGAACCTATAGTTTACCATCAACTTGTTCGTATATTCTATTCTAATGGCGTTTGTATTAAAAACCGAGCTCAAACCAAAAACATAGCAGTTCATTCCTATCTCATAGGACAATTCATCCATCTTGACTCGGCTTACATAGATAATGAATTGGGATTAGATAATTATGGTATATCAAATGAAAAATAGTTTTTAGGTTCTCGTTATAAAAAAAGGGATAGTGCGAGTGTCTTAGATCTTCATGATCGTTTTCTTCATCTAATGATTTCTTGGTGGTTTCGACCATCCGGAGGTCGTTACTCTACTCTTCGTGCTTTAGATCTTTAGTGGTTACATTATTTCCAAAACAATATTAAAATAAACCTACCTCAGATTATTTTTGCTGAAATTGTTGAAACCGTAAATCTTGTTCCTAATAAGAAACTCTGTTCATCTCTAGTCTACGGTTGCATTCTGAGTAATCTATTTTCTAAAGTCGGGCTTAGAGTAGGTCTAGATGCCGTCTTCCTCTCAAGAAACAAATTAATCTTCTTTCCTTAACGAGAGCGGGATGGATAAAGAATAAGGACACTGGTGAATGGGTTCGATCTTCTGAAAATACTCCGGGAGCTAGCTCTTCTCAAGCTCCACCAGAAGCTGAAGACGATCTCGAGCTTGAACAATTAATGTAAGATATTGACGAAGCCGACGATGAGCCAGAACAACACGAGGAACAACCTTAGCAAGAAGATCATGTGCCTCTATATTTTCAGTCATTTATGGAGACATTTGATTTCCGTTATGCATCATTGGATTCTCGCTTCACTTCCATAGAATCTCACTTATCGACTATGGAAGCTCAATAATTGGAAATTCTCTGGGAGATACGTGCAAACAATGAAGCAACCAACGCTCGTATTAATGAACTCACTCATGAAATGGCAGCTATGCGAGCTCATTTCCCACCTCCCGATCCTCCTACGGATGCTTGAACTTTGAACTTTGCTTTGCTTGTTTGGATTGAACTTATTGATAAAACATTTTGAATGTTTTTGGATTGTTTTATTTTGGATGTTTGAATTTGATGGATAATTGGATATTTGAACTTACATGCTTATATATTTGGTTTGGTTTTAACTTTCATTTTGAGCTTAATGTTTATTTTTGCATCATTTACATATTAGTTGCATTATGACCAATTTTTGTCATTTCACATTATTTATGAATATTGAATTATGGAACTAATGGCTAACGTTTCTCTTGATTGTGATCTTAGCAGCTTAAGCTATATATATTTATCATAAATTGGCTAAATGATTTCAAAACCTTGTTTTAAAAGTCTTTTTGATTTAACAAAAAGGGGGAGAAATATTAAAGTGTTTTAAAGGGGAGAAGTGTTAGAGTAAGGAGGAGTAATTTCAAAACTTGATTTCAAAATCTTAAAATTACTAAAATGTTTTGTTATATCAAAAAGGGGGAAATTGTTGAAAACATTTTGATATTTCTATATAACAAATTAAGATAAATGAATTTTAAGATTTTCCAAAAAGATTTTCTAAGTATATTCGATATAATTATTCGAATATCAAAAATATTACTCCAAATCTTTCAAATGTCATTTTTAATCCTTACTCAAGTGTAAAATTAAGATTTAAACTTAAAAATAATTTCAAAATAATGTTACAAAATATTTCGAACTATTTCAAAGCCAAAAATTCCATATTGCTCAGAGGGAACCGATTCCCCCCAAGGGGGTACCAATTCCCCCTGAATGGTTTGGCTCCGAGAATTCCAGTATGCTCGGAGGGAACCGATTCCCCCAGGGTTACCGATTCCCCCTGTTCAACGGTCAAAATATTTGAATTTTACACTTAGGGAACCGATTCCCCGTGAGGGGTACCGATTCCCCCCACGCTCCAAGCAGAAATATTAATTGTTTTCACACTTAAACGACTCCAATAACTTCATTAATGATCCCCAACGTTTAGAAGTGATTCAAGGTGTATTTAAGCAAGCTTAGAAGCCATTGATCAACAACAAGAAACATCAAGCAACTAGAATCAAGAGAGAATTAAAGAGAAAGCATCAAACCTCAAGTTTGAGCATTTCAAGCCTATTTTTCATTCAATATTAATTTTGCTTTCAAGAACACTTATTGTTCTCAATTGTATTTATTCTTGAGTGTTCTTTCTTTGTTCTAGAATTGTGCAAACATATTTGCCTTGTGAGGTTTTTTTTATAAGTTTGCAAATTTGTAATCTTCTCTTTGAGAAAAGAATGTTCTCAAGAATTGGGGTATATTCTTGAGGGAGTTGTAAGGTTATCTCTTTGGCCTCAAAAGAAAGAACAAATTAGTGAATTTGTTGGAAAATCCTTAGTGTGGATAGCTAAGGTAGTGGACGTAGACTTTGGTTGATAAAGTCGAACCACTCTAAATCGCTGTGCAATTACTTTCAATTTTCTGCAAAAGCTTCCACAAAATTTTAATTTCCAATTCACCCCCTCTTGGCCGATTCTGTCAATCGTTAACTCAACATTATTTTTTAATAACAGGTGTTCTAAGCTCACCGGACCATTTGTTTATGGGATCAAATGGATTGCGGTAGCTGTTGGTAGTTCATTTATTCTGGTTTAGACAAAGAGCCACAACCGGCGGTAGATCGACCATTGGTTGGTGTCTAAGTGTTCTCTCTCCATCGGAAGGTAGAATGACAATAAGGGTGAGGTAGTTTTATTGAAGTCGCATCTCATCTCTCAATCATGCTCGGGAGGTTTTATAGCGAGTCTTTAATGTGTGTGTCTTTAATGTGTGTGTCAACAGTATGATCATAGTTGCTACATATAAGATAGCAAGTTAAGTAGATACGATAAGATATTGATGGATTTAGTTCTGATATGTCACGTGAGCCCGTTAGAGGTCATATAGGCTAGTCGAGGCTTCCCAATATTTAGATCTTCAAGAATGAAAGATGCTATGGGTATTAAGATTGGAATCCATACAAGGTGATACAATATAAATATCATTGATTATTTGATCAATTAATAGATTTAAGAGGCGGATTTATTTTTTAGGGTAAAGGAACTAATTATCCGTTAATTTGTATTATGAAATTCTGTTAATTTGTATAGATGTTGAAATTGGTTTCTCTTTTTGGGTTCTATTTATCGATAGATAAGGGTTTTCTCCATATTAATGACCCAAGCCCAATCCACTGGGTTGTCAAAATTTTCTTTTATAGAAAATCAGTCTGAGGCGGTGCAAGAAAAACAAAGGAGAAATTTACTAGGAAAATCGAATCAAAAGAAACCTAGCCCGAGGACCATAGAAGCGGCCGAGCTCTCTATTTATCCGTTTCTATCAATCTCCCCTTCTTTTCAGCGTTGAAGGTACTTTTCTTGTCTAATTTTCTGAATCTTTTAGGGTTGTTTTCTGACTTTATTTCTCGAACTGGTTTTCTTTCGAATCTCCCTTTTTGTCTTATTTTATTTACCTTTCCTTCCCCCGGAGGATTAGGGGTTTGCACTCTTTTTTTGTTTTTGTTTTTGTTTTCTTCGCATATGTTTCCGGGTATTGTCAAGTCGATTGTTTTCCGTTTTAGGGTTTCTTTGGATTTCGTTAAATGATGTTTCAATCTCAATTTGTTTGCCTCAGGACTTAAAGTTGGTTTACGGTGTATTCAATTGATTTGAAAATCCACAACAATGGGTGAGAGTGTTAAGCGCTCTCGAGGCCAAAGAGCTCATGATGGGGATAATAGGAGCCAGAAGAGGAGGTTCAATGATAAGGATGAAAAAAGTAATGATGAATTAGTTGTTTATAGGATACTTTGCCCTGATGGGGTGATTGGAAGTGTAATTGGTAAAGGCGGCAAAGTCATAAATTCAATTAGGCAGGAAACGAGGGCAAAGGTTAAAGTGGTTGATCCATATCCCGGTGCTAAGGATAGGGTTATAACTATATATTGTTACGTCAAAGAGAAGGAAGATGTTGACGGAGAAGATGGATTTAATCACAAAAAACCATTATGTGCAGCTCAAGATGCTCTTCTTAGAGTTCACACATCAATTGCAAATGCAGTGGCTGTCATGGGGGATTCAGATAAGAAGCGGACTGATAAGCATAGGGAGGAATGTCAAATTCTTGTCCCGTCTAGCCAATCTGCAAATATTATTGGCAAGGCTGGCACAACTATTAAGAAACTGAGGGGCAAGACAGGAAGTAACATTAAAGTTATTGCTAAGGATGCCAGTGATCCAAGCCATTCTTGTGCCATGGACTTCGACAACTTTGTTCAGGTTCTTCTTGTTTGCAAATAGTTTTGCTTCATTTAGGCAGTCTTGATGATGTGTTTGAGTGGCTTGTTGTGTGAGCATTGGTTTTTATTATATTCCAAAACTATTTGTGGGGACTTTTACTGTTGTATAACTCAAATTTGGAATTTAATCTAATGCCTATATTTTGTAAAAGACATTGCCACATCTAGGTTGAATCTATGTCAACTGTTATAATGAATAGAATCTACAACTGTTGAGTGTTGACAATATATGCACCTTAACCATCGTTTATCAACTGTTACAGTGAGCCGTGGAAATATCAATCATGGTTTAAATTCAATACAGGCTAATGTGTGTGAGACTATACCGATTCTAAATTTATCTAGTTAAGATATGACTGAGATAACTATAATATGCAGTAAAGTGACGCCATAATATTCTATATTATACTATCTTCATTGTGGTTTAAAGTCAGTTTGTTTTTATTTTTATCTTCTTTTCTTCTTCTATTAGTTTTTGAAGTTTCCTCTCTGCTGTGAATAGATAACCGGTGAACCGGAAGCTGTTAAGAAAGCACTTTTTTCTGTTTCTGCAATCATGTACAAGTTCAGTCCCAGAGAAGAAATCCCTCTTGAGACAACAGTGGCAGAAGCTCCTCCAGCACCAAGCATCATTATCCCAGCCGATGTCCCTATCTATCCACCAGGTGGTTTATATCCAAATTCTGATCCCATTGCCCCTTCTAGATCAGTTCCACAAATATTAGGTGCTGCACATATGCGAGATCTTCAGGGATATACAGGGAGTACCTGGCCTGTGTATTCATCTGCTCTTCCTCTGGTTTCTGGTTTTTCTGGTGCCTCTCACTCTGAAGAGCTAATAATCAAAGTACTATGCCCATTTAAGAATATTGGGCGTGTCATTGGAAGAGGAGGGAGTACTATTAAAAATATAAGACAGTTGAGTGGTGCTTGTATCGAGATTGATGATACAAAGGCTGACCGTGATGAGTGTGTTATCACTGTCATCGCTACAGAGGTATGCCCCTAGTTCAATTTCTCTACCTGGATCTTGCTATCAATTTCTCTACCTGTTCTATTTTCTGATGTGCTAATGTGGCTTGACTTGACAGTCACCTGATGATTTAAAATCCATGGCTGTTGAAGCTGTCCTGTTGCTGCAAGGCAAGATCAATGATGAAGATGGCGATACTGTGACTATGAGGCTCCTTGTTCCATCTAAAGTTATTGGTTGTATTATTGGAAAAGGTGGTTCTATTATAAATGAAATTCGGAAGAGAACTAAAGCTGATATCCGTATAACAAAAGGTGACAAGCCAAAGTGTGCTGATGCTAATGATGAGCTCATTGAGGTTTGTTATCTTTTGTTATCTTTCTCTTTCTCAAGATCAAGATTGATAATTTTTGTTTTGTTTCCTTCTATTTCAGCAGTTCTGTATGCTAACTCTTCATTTTTTAGTTTGTTGGTGAAGTTAGTAGCGTAAGAGATGCACTTATACAGATTGTTTTAAGGCTCCGGGATGATGTTTTGAAAGAGGACAGTGGTCATAACCCTTCTATAGCTGCAGATTCTCTCTACTCAGCTGGTGCCAGTCTTTCACTGCCATCTCTTTTGTCCTCTGTTCCACCAGTTGCTCCTTTGGCTTTTGATCAAAGGGGTGAAAATGGAAGTGGCCTTGGTGTATTATCTTCAAGCAGCCTCTATGGATATGAAAGCCTGCCGGTAAATAATCGTGGAATTGTTGTTAACCATCATATATGTCTATTTTTCCTATTCATTTCCTTACTATTTGGTGTTAAGGAGTTCCCTAATTTTTCGGGTTGATGGCTTTTGAGTTCCACTTGAGGGTTATTGATGAATTAGAATTTTCATTCATCAATGAAAATCTGTTTTTGTCTCACATGCTTGATTGCAGCTTCTGTTCTTTCAATTGAATCTGCATCAACTTGGAGGTGGGATGTGTTTTATTGTTTGTGGGTTATTTTTGCTTATCTGCTACCTGTTTCTGACAAAGAAGCCCATCTGTGTTCCCTGCAATTTTATTTTTTCTTTCTTTCAGAATGTGTTTTTACCCATTATTGTTTTGATATTTTTTTTGTCTCTTGTTGTTTTCCGCTTTAATAGATGGGGGATAATGACTATGGGTCCATGTCCTCATATTCATCAAAGCTGTATGGAGGGTGGGTATATCATGCTTCTCAGAAATTGTGCTTAAGGTTTAATCTTCTGAACTTTATACCTTCTACATGAATTTACACCTTCCATTGATTATCTTTATGCAGATTGGCTCCATCATCAACCCTTGAAATAATGATCCCTGCTAATGCAGTCGGTAAAGTGTTGGGCAGAGGAGGGCTCAATTTATCCAACATAAGGAAGGTTGGTTTATCACTTTTAAGTCCTACTCCTTGATTTTGTATGATCTTAGTAATTATTAAGCTAAATAACAAGCTTAATATTGAGATGAACGAAATTAAGGATTTGAATAACTACGAAATTGTATTTGGCAGGTTTATGTTCTATGGTGCTTTGTGTAGTTAGTGGCAGAATATTTTTTCCTTTAATATTCTTTTGATATTGCTAAAGTAAGAAAGTTGATCTTTATGGATTTTTTTTTTTGAAAATTATCTTTATGAAATTAATTTATGCTTTGTGATGATATTCTTTTAAGCAGATGCTTTTTTGATTAAGTTGTATGTTTGAAAATTGATATGTGGTCTCTTGTCTATTAGTCCTAACAGTTGACATGACATGTATGAAAATTGATATGTTCTCTCTGGTCTATTAGTCCTAACAGTGGACATGACATGTAATAAACATTTGTAATTGTAATGTTTCTTCCCTCACAATATTGTGGGAATCTACGTGATTGAATTGTGTTCTTACGCTGCCTTGTTCTCTTTCAGATATCGGGGGCGATGATTGAAATTTCTGAACCCAAATCCTCCCGAGGGGAATGTGTTGCTCTTGTAACTGGCACACCGCAACAGAAGCGTGAAGCTGAAAACTTGATTCAGGCGTTTATAATGGCCACCTGAATCTTAAAGATATTCTTGATAGATGAAGATGAATAGTTAAAATCTTAGAGTTTTCCCCCATCAAATGTTTCCTCTTGGTTGTTCCCTTAGGTTTGGTGTTTGGAGATTGGCTTCTTATTCTAGTTTTCATCCACCAAGCTCTGTGTTCTTTCCATGACACTGGTTTTCAAGATCATCCTGGAAGATTTGCTGCTGGTTTGGCATTCATGGGAGTTAGGTTGTCTTCATCGCTTAAACTATTCCCCGTCTGCCCTATCTTAGAGTTTCTAGGATATTTCTTTCTCAGCAACTGTTATATCAGGTCTTTTCTTAGTATGGCTTTCTGCTTTCCAATATTTTTATACTTGGAATTTGATGTTTGCACCTAGAGATATTTCAATTATCGTAATTGACGTACTCATAGCATGTTTGCTTATTATACTTCTAGCTTCCCAGTTCTTGCTCTCTGCTGCTCAATAGAGTATCTTCCTATTGACAGTATAATATGACATCTCGATGATTATTTCTCCATCTTTCCCGTGGTCAGTTTGTAGTGAAATCTCCAAAGAAAAATGGACGTTATTAACTGGAAGTTAATTAGTACTGACAGTTTTGTGAAGCACGTCCTCCATTCCTTTCTCTCTATTCTGAATCTTATACCATGTTGCCGACTTCATGAATTGGTCAATGCAAAAACTGAACACTGTGATTCATCTTATACAAATATTTTATTTCTGAACTTTTCTAGCTGCCGTGATTATCATTTATTTCGTATAGTGTGTTCTCTCTGTATTCATATGCTTCCCCGGATCTTGGTTCGCATGGTGAAATGTAACCTGTCTTACTTTTGGCTCTTGGACAATGCTTGTGAAGAGTTCTCATCTTGAATTGAGATGCCTTCTTAAACCATTCGTTGCAAACAGGAAATGCATATGATCGATGTCTCCTCCCTGTTCCAAGAATAACTTGGTCAACTTGTTTTTGAAACTGAAAATCAGTTGAGCTTTTTTAAGGAATAACTTATACTTCTGTTGGCAAAATTATTTTTTTATTAGCTTCTCAGATACTGATATTAATGGCTTACATGGCTCATGAGCTTCATTATTGATGCTTCCTTCTGTGCCAATCACATCTTTTCTAGAATGGAACACATATGTGATGTCAAAGTGTTGTTTCTCCACCGTGTTTAATCCCTGGCTTCAATTATTGTTTTCCCCCATTAGACAACACATTATCTCTTCTTCAATTGCCTTTTTCTTTGCAGTGGTTTCAATCTTTCTCTTCAACCTTTTTGACCCCTCTCTCCCTCCCCTGTAATTAGCAAAGTGAAGATGCTTTTTGTTCTTCTATGAAGGAACTATGAGGTGCATTGCTGCTTTTATTGTTGTGTGTCAATTTTTATAATTTATTACTATTTGTATTTTTGCATTGCTTTAGCATGTCAGTGATGCTCATACGGTCATACTCCCATTTCATATCGTCTCATCTGGCAGCAGTTTGAAACCTTTGGGGCTTCTAGCACTTTCTAGCCAGTTTATTTATTTTTTTCATTTGAAATTTTGGCTGCCAGTGTCATATCTCGAAAGATATTCTGATGTTAGTGAGCTCTGTGTCAATTAACTTTCTCACTTGTGATATTTTCCTGCATTATTGGTATAGCTATATTAGACAACTCAGGCCATTGTCGTATTTCTTCTTTTCTAAACCATTAGTTAGGTTAGCTTTTGAGAGTGTATCATATGGTCATTTGCAGTTTCTACGTTTATGATGGCGACTCTTCTCTGGGTAGATTCTTTAGGGCCACTTGTATTTGGAATGAAACTGAATAGTTATTCCATTAATCATTACTTTTAGCCGGAATATGTCCATTTTTTACTTATGCCCCTGGACGGTCTGGACAATAGTTCACAGTTCAAACAATCCTTGACTGAAGGGCTGAGGGTTCATAGTTTTGGTAGCTGTCCCCTGTATGTAACTGAAACATGTTTGTAAATATGGCTAGACATTTTAGTGCTGCTGCTGGAGGTGATAGTTTATAGGTTCAGCTGGAATTTGTATGACTGATTCGAACTTGAAAGCTGTTTTTGGTTATCATGGAATGAACACATGAAAGAGTTATTAGCCATGTAAAAGCTTGTTGGATGAAATGATCTTGTTTGGTCTTTTATGGGATGGAAGCCGTTTGATGGAATCTTCATTATTTCGATATTGATTATTACTTGCAGTTTTAATGTACTGCACTATCTGTTATTTTGCTTGTGATTATTTTTGAAATTATATACTTGTATAAAATTTAACACCTTAGTTACTTATTTTAGAGATTCATGTTATGCATGTGTTAATTTTTTCATCTTTTAAGTTGTTTCATATGGAGTGTGTATATGGTCCACATTAAGATGAATAAAACGTGATTCAAAAAATCAACTCGATTTGAGTTTTATTCCTTGCAGTTTTATAATATATGTATATATATATATTAAATTTTTTTCGTTTTGTCGCAATATAAATATATTTAATAATTTCAAATACATTTGCTTTATTAAATAAAATTTAGTTTTATTTTTCTTAATTTTGGTTTTAATTTCTTTTTGTTAATATTGGTCTTAGAATTTAGTAATTTTTTTCTCTCCGAACTTTGATAACTTAAAAGGAAAGGCGTGATTGTGTGAAAATTAAAGATTTTTTTATAAAATATGAAAAGAAGGAAAATTTGAGAAATCGTGGTATGATTTTATAGTAATGACACTTTCGGGAAAGCTAAGTCTTGAGGATTGGGGAAACTTTTCGAGATGAGGAAATTGAGAAAAGTTAAATTTAAGAATGAAATGTTTGACATTTATCAGTATTCGAAAGCAGTTCTGCATTCCCTTTGGTATGAGACTTTGCGCAAAAACTTATTTGGTTGGTGATTCTGTAAAACTGTACACTGTTTTATATATATATATATATATCCATGGAGGTAGCACAGTCACTTAGGGAAATGAGCATCCAAACACCCAACGCATCATGTTTACCAATAATGTGATGGATGCACGAAAATTTATGTTTAGATAATACTTTAATTTAGAGATATAAAAAAATAGTGTAACTTACATCTACCTCGATGATCAAAATTCTTGAACTCAATTGATCTCGATTTAATTCAAAAAAAAAAAAAAAGTTCGAAATGAACATGATCTGATTATTTTAAAATATTAATATTTTAAGATCAAAATTTTAATGTAAGAATGAATATGATCACGATAGCAAAACAGAATCAAATATAAGTAATATATTTTCAGCGACTAAAAATGGATCCAGTCCCACCCTTTGCTGTACCCATCCCTATTCCTTACCACGCATTACTTGTATCGATAAAAGACTTGGACAGTTACGGCCTGCGGCGACCAGAATATTTTGGATGGAATCTTACGTGTAATTGTAATCAATTCCATCTTCTCTTATCTTTCCTTCCCTTCTCTGTTTTTCTTTTTTCTTTTAAGATAATATCTTACCCTTAATGCTATGATTATTGTTACAAGAAAGATCAATAATACTTCCCAGTTCGCTTTGCACCCTTTAAAACGTCACCTTCTCTAATCTTCCCATTCAGGAAAAGATAACAACTCTGTTGGTTATTTTTAATGGCGGCAACGAGGAAACCCTTACTCTCTTTGCTCACCAGAGTTAGCCGAACAAGCAGCAGAAGAACCTATGGTGTTGTGGCTCAAGGCACTTCTTCCTCCTCTTCTAACCATCTCATCAACCTTGAACAGGAATATAGTGCCCACAAGTTTGTTCTTTTCTCTCTTATTTCTCTCCTCCCTCTTCTGGGTTTGTTTCATTCATCTTTTCTCTCTCTTTTTTGGGTTTTGGTTTATTTGATCTGAAAAGCATATATTCTCACTTGTGTCCGTGTTTTCAGTTTTGGGTTTTTCTTAACTCTATCTGAAACGCATCGACTACCATTTGTATTGGTGTTTTTGTTTTATTAGCTTCAAGCTTTTGTCTTTGTTTATCTTTCCTGCTAGAATGATTGATATTTAAGGGGGGGGGGAATAGATTATTTACTTTGGTTTAATTACACGATTACCACCATGGCTACATATGTAGACTCAATTAATTAGGTCAGTGAATTTTGTTGAGAACCTTTGAATTCAGGGATATAAATTGTGCTTGAGGTCTCGTTTTCCGTTAGGTTGTGTTTACCGTAATACCGGTGCTATTGCAGTTATACGGTCGTGCAATAACGGTTTCGGACAGCACCATTACTGTTATATAACTGCCGCTATTCTGATAACGACCTTTATTTAAATCCCTGCCTTTTGATTGATTTTCAAGTGTTGAAAAACAAGCCATACAGCTTTTCCACTGCGTATATTATTTCAGAGTTCTCTGAAGTTTCCTTTTCCCTTTGTTTAATTTAATTACATTTTGGTTAATCTGTGGTTATTTGGGATTTTTTGCACGCTACGTTGATAGCTATATTGCCTGTTCTTGACGTTAGTAAAATCGCTTTTCATGTTCAAGTACAGTTACCACCCAGTTCCTGTTGTATTCTCTGAAGCAAAGGGATCAACAATATGGGATCCAGAAGGCAAGAAATATCTCGATTTTCTATCTGCTTACTCAGCTGTTAATCAGGTACAAGCAGTGTTTAAATAATGTAGTAGAATCCCTACACCTATAGGTGCTTTACTTTTTCTTATTTGTCTGCACTTTTCCTCCCGTTATTCGTTGGAGTTAGGGGGGGAGGAGGGAATTCCTCTTGCCAAGTATACTCGGTCAAAAGACAGAGTGAAAGGGAAGAAATCCACCGTTTGCATTTCTCTTGGCACTTTGAATTTTGCTTTCTATTTATTTTAATTTTTGTTACTTCCCTCTGTAGGGACATTGTCATCCAAAGATCATCAAAGCATTTCAAGAACAGGCAGAAAGACTCACTCTCAGTTCCAGAGCCTTCTACAATGACAGGTTTCCAGTTTTTGCTGAGCGTTTGACAAGTATGCTTGGGTATGAGATGGTGCTTCCCATGAACACTGGTGCTGAAGGAGTGGAGACTGCTCTGAAGTTGGCAAGGAAATGGGGTTATGAGAAGAAAAATATTCCCCAAGATGAGGTATATTTTTTCAATCTTTGCTAACTGGTGTTTTGTTGTGTGCCAAATATATCCCCTTTTTGGATGTAAGGCCGTTAGTTGGGAAAGTGCACTTTTTCCCTTGTTGTAGGTTGGTTTTGTTGGGCATTGGTGGATGAGGTACTTTTGAATTCTGATTGCATTTATTCACTATTTAGCTTCATCCAATTAATGATGTTAATTGGAGATAGATCTCATATAGAAGTGCTCGAGTACTACACCAGGGGAAAATATAGTTTAGGAAACGGAAAGCTTGTGGTTTTCTTCTTCTATCTGATTTAGTAGCAAAATACTTATGATTTTGGATGGCGGTTGTGTTCTATATTGTTAAAGTTCTGTCTGACTTGGTGTTATATATATATATATACCCCATTAAGTTTTATTTATCTATTTTAACGTTCGAAAGAATTGTGCATTTGCAGGCAATTATCGTCTCTTGTTGTGGTTGCTTCCACGGTCGCACATTGGCTGTCATCTCTATGAGCTGTGACAATGAGGCTACTCGTGGATTTGGGCCATTATTGCCTGGTCATGTTAAAGTTGATTTTGGTGATGCTGTTGCCCTTGAGAAGATATTTAAAGGTTTGAATAGTCCAATATATTTAAATTTTATTTTTTATTGGATGCCTAAGAGGCCTCAATTATAGTTGATCTTAAATGGTTCATTCCCTCTCAATATACTTCAATGTCCTGAAATATGAAGAAAAGAGTTTTTTCTTCTATTCTAACACATTACTTATTTCTTTTGAGTGCAGAACATGGAGACAGAATAGCAGGATTTCTCTTTGAACCTATTCAAGGGGAAGCTGGTGTAAGTTTATTGTCAAACATTTATTGGCTGATAAGTAGTTTGAATGGGCATGATTGTTAGTTCTCTACAAATTAGGTTTCCCATTGACGCAGATTACGGTCTAATCTTTAAATAGATTCTGAAATCATAGAAAATTCACATAATTCTTTCCTTTCTCACAATATTTGTGGGGAGAACCTTTTCATCAAAGCAAGCTCCATTCACGAGTTATTGCTTTTGACCCATCATTCTTTGACAATGTTCTCTTTTTTTATGGCTTTACATTTATAGGTTATAATTCCTCCAGAAGGTTATCTAAAAGCTGTCAGAGATCTTTGCTCAAAATATAACATTCTGATGATTGCTGACGAGATACAAAGTGGCCTAGCACGGTCGGGAAAAATGTTGGCTTGTGATTGGGAAGGTGTTCGTCCAGATGTTGTGGTAAGGCCGTTTACAATTTCCATGTTTTGCTGAAATTCCTGTACTGTTTTATGCGCATAAATCAGCGTTTAGTTCTAATCTTTTGCACTTAAATTTTGCTGACAAAATATGCTATAAAGGTTTATAAATAATTTATAATTGTTGCTCCACAACTTAATGCCCTTTGGTTTCTGTAGATATTATAGTAAAGTGGCCATTAATAAGTGCATCAAACATACATGAGCCTTTTTACCATTCTTGCAGGAAAAATGTAAAATTGAATATTGCAATGTGTAGGAGATTGAGTCGCAACTAAAATAATGAAAAACCGACTGAAAGTTTGATCTACACAAAGAAAACATGTTCTTTTACCTTGTGTATATTAATTTTAGTTGTATCTGCAATCTGCTTCAATGTGAGTAAAGATGGCTGTGCCCCTTTCTCTCTAAATTTCTTTCTGAACTTGGATGCACATACATGATATATAGAAATACATAACTCATAATTTCTTTTGATTATAGTGAGAGTAGAGTATTATTTTAGATTCTTTATACTGTCTACTTTACATTGTTATTTTCTCTCAGCAACAATAGAAAGTTATATTCAATGCTCATTTGTGGATTGATTGTTTTATGGAGCTAGTTCTTCTCTTCCCTCGTTTTACAGTTAGGCATTTAAAATATAAATCTTACATTGTTTATTCTCTGCTTTAAGGATGAATAGAAATTTGTATTCTTTGACCATTTATGTTTCATTTAACTAATTATTCCCTTCCCTTGTATTAGAGTTCGGCATTTAAAAAGAGCTTTAATGTTCGATTAGAATCATGAGATGACTATTGAAATTTGCAGTTGAATAATAGCATCTTGGTGTGGAACTTCTCAGACCGCTTGCTAACATTTTGCTACTACTAAATTCATGCATTCATTCAACATGCTCTGTTTTATGTTTAATTTTTTCAAGCTTCCTTTCTTATTAAATCAATGAACTCCAAAGTTTTATAAACTTATCTTCTAAATATGTATAATATTTGATTGACTTGCTCAGATACTAGGAAAAGCTTTGGGTGGTGGCGTAATACCTGTAAGTGCAGTGCTTGCTGACAAAGATGTAATGCTTTGCATTCGACCTGGAGAACATGGAAGGTTTGTAGTTGTCCTATGTTGCTTCCATCCTTAAACGGCTCAACTTTCAAAGAATTTTGGTAGTTTTTCTTCTATTTTATGCACATGCTCTTAATTTGCCTTTATAACTGTCTCCAAAGCCTAAAATGTCCTTCTGATGTTTATTCTATTTGAGATGATGATTGTTTTACAGTATTGTTTTGTTCTGTAAAAGCTCTCTGCAATTTTGTTATTGTATGTCCTCAGCACCTTTGGGGGGAATCCTTTGGCCAGTGAGGTGGCCATTGCCTCGCTAGATGTAATCCAGGAGGAGAAACTTGCTGAGAGGTATCGAATATTCTTGCTGAATGCTTTTGCATTACCAAGATTAAATATGAAGAAGAAAAGTTGGAAATCATGCTGTTTACTGTAAATATATCTGGTCTTCTACAATTTAAAATGTAAAGAGAATTCAACATCTTAAAAAATAAATCATTAGTCGATTGAAATTGAACTTGACAAAAATTTGGATTCAAAGTTTGCTTCAAGTACTATTTGGCTTGCTTTGCTATACATAGCCGGTATTCATCTATATTTACGAGTTTATTTCCTATTTCATAGATCTGCCCGTTTAGGAGAAGAGCTTTTGCATCAGCTGCTTAAGATTAAGGAAAAGTTTCCAAGCTACATTAAGGAAGTTCGAGGAAGGGGTTTATTCACTGCTGTAGAGTTCAATAGTAGGACCTTGTTTCCTGTTTCGGCATATGATATCTGTCTAAAGATGAAAGAAAGAGGAGTTCTTGCCAAACCCACACATGACACCATTGTACGGTTGACTCCACCACTTTGCATAAGGTGAGGAGAAATGACTTATGATGATCTTATAGTTTTTTGTCCATCGGTCCATTTTAGGTTCAACGTTTTGCTAGCATCCTAGACTAGCAAATAAAAGAAACAAATGTGTAGAAAATGTATGATATCTGAAGGGAGATGGTACTTCATATGAGGTCGATGGGTGCTGATCCATATCGGTGCTAAGATTGATTGGTACAAGTTCGCACATTTGCTTATTTTGGCCTCGGAATTCATAGCATGATCTGATATCATGCTACATTTAGTATAGTGGAACAAACTGGATTTTAAGTGGTAGTACCCTTCATCATTCAACAGATGTGCCATGTTTTCGGAAATATTTGTCATCGGGGATACACTGAATTTTCTCTTGGGAGTTGTCTAGCATGAAGGATGGAAATGAGTGAGAATGAAAGATCTGTTAGTCTAATGGTTAAACTACAACAGTAAGAGCAAATTTTCATTCACTTCTTTCCATCCTTCGTAACGAGTAAAGCCTTAATGTGTTCAAGGTGGTTTATTTATGCAAAGTATTTTATTTCATTTTAAGGTGCAATATCCGAATTAATGAATAATGATGTTTACACAGATTATGGAATTCCATGCTTGAAGCTAAGAGCCATCTCGGATGCGCTCTATGCCATTTTTCTGCCAACTTTTATGCATTTCTTTTTAATTTCTTCTCCATTAATATTGAGCCAGATTTTCTGTCGCCTTAATGAGTCTTTTGCATAGAAATCACAGAAAACAAAATAGAATCGGATAGTCTCGACTAACATGTGTTACCTGCATTGGTCTAAGACATGATCATTCTGTTATCCTACTGTTTACTTGCCGCCAACATTTTTATACTTGGAAGAGCATTTGATACTGTCTAATTTTATGTTTATATAGTCCGGATGAGGTGAAAGAAGGATCGAAGGTGCTGCAAGATGTTCTGGAACTGGATGTACCGAAAATGCAGAAGGCGAAGCCGAAAGATTTTCCGATGAAAGCTACGATCTGTGATCGATGTGGGCGAAACTTGCATGATTCTTCAGATTAAGGTGTGTATAAATAAAGTAGTAGATTAACGAGAGAGTTGAGATATGCTGCATGTTTGGATACGGATCACAAGTGTCTTCAATCTCTTTCTTCAAATATATATATATATATAATGTTAAAAGGGCCAATGATTGGATTGTTGGGACTGGAGGTAGCCATCTCACTGGCTTGTTGGTCTAGACTCGAGTAGCTTTAATATTTAATGTTTCCATGCTTCCGATTATCTCTCTATCATACCCCACTCATTTATTTATTTCTTTTGTTCCATAATATTAAGTACTGCACTGAAGAACATACCCCCAATCCCATGTTTCATGTATTCCTATTTGTTTCCCACAATCAGCTCTTTCCATTTTGTGAAGGCTCCGAGGAATATGATTTATATCTTCTGCAGCCTGCCATGTTCTCGGGATTTGGTAAAAGTTACAAAACCATTCCTTCTTTTTTCGACAAAAGTTAGAATGGCATAAAACTACTTGATTTATAGCCGGATTTGTGGAGATCTTAATCCTAGAAAAACAAGCCCACTCTTTTTGACATTTTTTTAATGCACCACTAATGAGTAAAAAAGTAAATTGTTTCGGCTAAGAACTAAATAGAGTATTAGACTTTTTAGTTTAAAGAGGATAAAACCCTTGTAGCATTTTCTTATTTATAAAAATAAATTATTTAATTTCGGCTAACATTAATTCGGTCATGGATAACTCGTTTTTTTAGTTAAACAATTGATGACGGTTTAAATCGAACGTTAACATATTGATTGATGTATTATAAAATTTTATTTTATAATTATTTGAGTTGTATTTTATAGATCGATTTTCCTTTATATTATATTATTGAGTCGGTGCTTGAAATATTATGTCGTCGAACTAGTACTTGAAAGCAACAACAATGTCAATAGACATCAATAAAATATAATTTTATCATATCTCAATCAACAAGTTAACGTTCAGCTTAGGCATTCATCAATCTCTTAACAAAAAAAGAATGAGTTTGAAACATATGAATACTTGCATGATTATTTTATAACTTTTAATAGTCGGATGACTCAACAAATACAATGCCCTATAATCGAGAATCATTTATATACTTTATCATTTTAGTTTTAGGGTAAATTATATAAATGTTCACCAAACTTTTAGGGTGTTTACATTTTGGTCACATAATTTTTAAAACTTGCAATACTTTATCATTAAACTTTTAGTTCATTTTCAGAAAGGTCTCTAACTCGACCTCCCGTTAGTTTGATCTAATGTGGGATGTTACCCTCTTGTAATCCTTCTTCTTCTTTTTCTTTAATCGCCCTTTATATTGACTCGTTATTTATATGAAATCCCTCCAGAGTAAAAGAAGGGATCGTGGTGGCATATATATATATATTGAAGAAACAGTTGTCGGTTCCTAACAATTTAATTAATTAATTCGTTCAATCACTATCAAAGAGACGATAGAAGTTATCCGTCCATTGTCAGATATCACTCATCACAATGGTTCATCGGTATCTTCATTATAAAAATCTCCATGTCCATATCATGTAAGCAAAGATTTGATTTCTTATAATGTTTATCAAAACACCAACAACAACAACAATTTCCGTCCAACATATTAATGGGTTCATCGGTACGTGAAGAAGGCCACATATATTCATTAACAGTCTAGAAATCGCACAGCGGATTGGTGAAAACCATCGTGTCATCGTCCGAGAAATTTTTTTTACAGGTCATCAAGATGGAAGATTCAAGTTTGAAAGATTTCAAACTAGAACCCGAGTGTTCATAAACGAGCATGATTATAAAACTCTAGAAAATCCAAATACTTCAATTGAACCTATTGAGAACCACCACCCTTTGTCCGGCAATAAGAGTGTCGGTGAGCTAGAGACCATCTGACTAAGGATGTTGATACAAGGTCATCAAAGGATCGACATCTTGACACTTTCATTTAAAAAAAAAACTTAAAACATGGCATATAGGTATGTATAGAAAGGATTTGTTAACTTCCACTGCTGGTGGTAGTCATGACTTCCACAACAGTCCAACTTGTGTTGTTAAAGAAGAAGAAGAAGAAGAATTAACGGGAAGTAACTGTCATGCCAGATAAAATTGACGGGAGGTAACATCAAAGACCTTCATGAGAACGAACTAAAAGTTCAGTGACTGTATTATAAATTTTAAAAATCGAGTGAGTAAAATGCAAGCACCCTAAACGTTTGGTGACAATTTATGCCGTTTTTCCTACTATTTATTATCGTTCTTGCTAATTCCTTAAAAAAAAAGCCGAAGGCGAATCCTTGAAAATCCCGTCTCTTTGTGTAGAGACAAAATGCGTGGAAGTATCTCATCCTTCCATTGCCTTGTAACCACATTCACATACTTTCTTCTCAATTCCCATTCCCTTAAAGAAGAAGCAGATCTATTCACTTTCCTCTCCTCCCCCATTTGGATAATTTAATAGCAATGTCGTTGGTTTGTTCAGATCCGGTCCAAAGAATCCACCCGAATCCCATCGATCACCTCGACAGTCTTCCCGACTCACTTCTTCTCTTAATCTTCAACAAGATCGGCGACGTCAAAGCTCTCGGCCGCTGCTGCCTCGTCTCCCGCCGTTTCCATTCCCTCGTCCCTCAAGTCGAAAACGTCGTCGTCCGTGTCGATTGCGTCATATCCGACGACGATTCTTCCCACTCGTATTCTTCTTTTTCTTCTTCCTCCGGCAAATCACGTGCCGCCGGTCCTTTCTCGAACATCTTCCGACTCGTTTTCGGAGGCGTTTTTAAACCCCTTCAAGCTTTGGGTCAATTCCTCGGCCCAAAACGGTCCGTTCTCAACGAAACGGTTAACACCCATTCGTCCTCATCTTTATCTGTTGGTTCCGGCGATGATGGGGAGATGGGCCAACGTGGGGTCACCCACCATTCCCCTACACAGGTACTTAGAAATTTCGATGAGATTCGTTTCCTCCGAATTGAGTTACCCAGCGGCGAGTTAGGGATTGATGATGGAGTTCTTTTGAAATGGAGAGCAGATTTCGGATCAACTCTTGATAGCTGCGTCATACTTGGAGCTGCCTCCGTTATTAACAATGTGCATTTGCAACTACCGGAATTTGACAATGATGGTTTTTGCGGCAACGGTGGAATTACCGGTGGTTCGAATGTTGGAATCGTTGATGATAATGGAAGCATTCCGGAGTCGTTTTATACCAATGGGGGTTGAAATTAAGGGTTGTTTGGACGATTAGTTCGCTAATCGCAGCATCTGCAAGGCATTATTTTCTTCAACAGATAATTGCGGAGCATAAGACGCTTGATAGCTTGGTTTTAATCGATGCCGATGGACAAGGCATTCTTCGTATGAACAGGGATCAGCTTGAGGAGTTGAGAGTGAAGCCATTATCGGCTTCCTCCGTTTCAAAAAGGACGCAGGTACCGGCGTTGAATATGAGGCTTTGGTATGCACCTTTTTTGGAATTGCCTAACGGGGTTGTTTTAAAAGGTGCTACATTGGTTGCTATTAGGCCTAGTGAACAATCTGCTTCGAAAAAGGAGGTCTCAGATGCTTCTTGGTTATCGACTGCTTTTGAAGAACCTTACGGAACAGCTGCGAAGATGCTGTTCAAGAAAAGGACGTACTGTTTGGAGATGAACTCCTTTTGATGCTCACAATGGTAAAAGTCTCAAATGCTGGAAGTAATGGTTTTTTGTTGAGTAATTTGTTAGAAAAGCGTTTTGTTGTTTGTCTCATGTCATGTGGATTGATTAGTTTGAAATATTGGAGCATGTATGCTTCTTGTGGGCATTTATTTTATTCACCATAGACCTTTGATTAAATATATGGTTTTTAGAATGATGTCTTTTGGAAATGCCTATATATGAGCTGAAATTAACTTCTATTATGATGATTTTTATTTGTAGAAGTCGTGAATTAGAGGGGAGAGCGAGCATAATTACACTTGGTAATGGTGGTTTTGGGGTTCGATTTTCATTTGAGAAACCTTTCACTTGAATTGAATTAGTTATGGGAGGAAACATTGCGGAATGCAAGCTCAGCATGCCTAGCTTTCATTCTGTTTTTAGTTTTTTATTTGCTTACATACCTTTTATCTGTGCATCTCTTCTGAATTTAAAGTTCATTTTGCATTTTTCAAGGAGAGCAGTCAACTCAAGCACGATGGTCAAGGGGAAGAAGGGATAGCATGCTTTCAGAAAGCTGATGATCAACCATCAATTTTGGTTTGTGTTGTAGCTTAATCTCGGTACCATGTCCTATGAAAAGCAAAACCTTGCTTGGTACTGCCGGTGAAAGTAATCCATGAATGTTGTTATGATAACCCGTTGCAAGCGATTCAGCTTTTGGGCTTTAACTGATAGCCAAATGCACCTGCTGTTTGTGTTTTTCAGGCATATTCTTGTAAGAGTGCACACCTGTTGACTAGATTGATGTTGTTAGAGCTTTGAATTTGTAGTCCTTTTAACTATTTAATCCCTCTTATATGTGAATATTGTAGGTATGAAGATGTCATGCTTTGTGTTGTGTACTTATGAAGTTCAATAAATGTAGTTTGTGCTCTTATCTTCTAGTTTCTTCAAAGTTAATGGATACTTTATGGTCAACCCCCTCAAATTCTTAAGGGGATTAACTAGATGTTGCAGATTCAAGGTTGGAAGTTGAAATTTGTATGTTGTGTTCTTTTTATTCCGTTACTTATGATCTAATATTGTTTGGACTCTTTATTTTTTTTTTTGGTTTAATATAAAAAAAATTCAAATTATACTCATTTAGGTGCTTAATTTTTTTTATCAATGTAAGTACCTAACTTTACCATTTACCAATATTACTATTATAAGTATCTTGATCGTAACATACGTTAAAAAAATCATTTAGTGTTCGATACATAGTTTAATTTTTATTTTCTTTAATTTAAAAAAATAAAATATGAATTTTTTTTAAAAAAATTCGTATTTCTCTATTTTTTAGAAAATACTCCCAATATTCATAAAATTCTAAAAGATAAATTACACACTTACTCAGTGAGCTTTAATCTCTCCTATTTCACTCAACATTTCACTCACCATACTTTCAGTTTTTTCAATTTGTTCACTGAACATTAGACATTAATTTTTTTACCACTAAACTTTGGTCATTGAATTTTTCTGGTTATTCAGTCGTTAATTTCCTAACAGGGTTATGACATGGCAGTTAAGATCAAAACGACGTAGTTTTG